ATCACTGGCTGATGAACTGGTCGGTGTCTGGAACTCTGATGGAGGATAATCCCGACTCTCCTCCATCGCAGCCGATCAGCCCTCCGGATTATCTGCGGCTCTTTAATCAAACAGCAGCTAATGTTGTGCAGGAAGCCGGAGCTGCTGAGTCCATAAACAAAGAGTAAAGTTCACCGCCGAGGCTGCTGCAGTTAATTATTGAACAAAGCTCCACTGATTCAGTCTAATCAGGGTTAAAATGCATGAAAAGAGAAGCTCCTCCTGTCAAGTAAAAGTGTGAAATGAGCTGTGGATGCTGTGATCCTGTGAGTCCTGACCCGTTAACCTGCTGCAGCGGAGCCCTGATCACTGAGCCTCAGTGCAACGATGCTGATTTGGATGCAAAGTGGAAAACAATGAGTCCGGCAGCTCTCAGACTCTGTGACTCAGCCTTCGTGGAAACTTATTCATCCACACGTGGGCAGAAATGCAGCCAGAAACCTCCGGGGAGGTTCAGCTTCACTCCAACAGTTTGGGCTTTTAGTTAGTGCTCATGTGATCTGCTGTTAAAGCCACAGGAGTCACATTTAGTTTGTTTTGTAATATCGAATCTATATCAGCCTCTGAGCTCCGTCTGATAATTAACACTCACATGTTGTCCTTGTTTTTACAGTTTTACCCTCGATTTTCTTTATTTCTGCTCGTTTTTTCTCTCATTTGTCAAATTTGATGCTTTTATTTTGTAATTCTTTAACCAAGTTAAACATAATTTCTCGTTTTTTCTGGCCTTCTGTTGTTTAGTGCTCTTCTTGAGTGTCCTCCTTTTTCTTGGATTGTCTATAATTATAATAATATAATATTATTATTGTTATTAAACAAACTATAATCAAGAGATTTTAGAAATATGGAAGTTTAAATTTTAACTTTCCCATCAGACTTTCCTACCAAAACACAAAAAGCATTTGTGGTTTAATGCTGACAAAATGTAGTATTTTGCTTATTTTGACAAGTTTTATGTTAATTTCTGGTTAAAATCTCCCTCACAGGGACAACACTGGACTGAACTGAAACTGAAGGAATCGCTTCATTGCAAATGACTTAACTCTTTTTAAAAAAAACTATTTCTTAGAAAAATTATTTTTAGCGTTTGAGATTTGTAGCTCGGAGCCCTTTTTACTCTTGACTTTATGATTTTACCCTACATTCTATCTGTTTATATTTGTTCTTTGATTTGATTTGGCAGATTTGGTGCTTTTATTGTTCTATTTGTGTCTGTTGGTGTTTGTTGTTTTTATTTATTCTGTAATATTTTGCTGTGTTTAACTGTATTCCTCTTTTTCTTTCTGGCCGTCTGTAATTATCAATATTATCTTTATTATAAATCAACCTGCAATCAGGACAATTATCAGGGTTTTAGGAATATGGAGGTTTCAAACTTCAACGTTTCCCACCAGAATTTCACCAAAACACAAAAAATAAAGAGAAGCAGAACTTCTGAGTATTAAAATAAATATTTGCTTATTTATACTAAAAGGTGACAAATTAAGTGAGAAACCTCAGCCTCTGTCTGAGGGGATCTGGTGACTCCGTCATACTGTCATACTGACATTTTCCTGTTGATGCAAATCAATACCAAGTTGATCTGATTGATCATCGTCAATAAAACTCTAAATCAGAGAATATTTTTTAGACGAGCAGCGTTTCATTTCTCCAGCAGAGTTCTGGAGAATCAGCGTGACTGAAGCTGTCACTGGACACTAGATGTTGGTTTTTCCTTTAATTCGTCCCCCATCTGTTTATTAATCTGCTGAGTTTCTCTCTAAACTTTATCTGCAGGTCCAACCTCAGTTATGTAACTCTGGCGACGGATACAAAACTCATTTCAGTTCAAACCCTCTGAACCTCAAAACCCGCCGGCAGTTTCCAAAGATAAAAGATAACGTGCTTCACCCTTTAGAGGGCACTCCTTGAAATACAAACCTAGTGTGTAACTGAAGGAGATTTCAAGATATTTTTACTTCTGTGACTTAAAAAAAAAGGTTGTAAATTAAGATTAATACAGTTATCATATGTGGTAATTTGCCTATCAACGCTTAAAAATAAATAAATGAAATGAAATTTAAAAAAATATTAATAATAATAAATTAAAATTAAATTAAATAAAAAGTAACAAAAAAGTAACAAACTGCAAAAAACATTTAGAAACATTTCAGTTTGAGGTAATGATACCTACACAACCAGTAACTAAGTATTTATAAAGCTGATCCAGTCACATTGTTCTTGGGGTTGTGGTTTTGGCACTAATCTCAAAAATAAATCAAAGTGGAGTTCAATACAAACCAGTAACAAAACGTTGATAAAGTGCAGCCTGGAACATTTGTTTAGTGACATTTTTCATAAGGTAGGCATGTTGGCACTAATATTAAAACTAAATCAAAGCGCACATGGTTCTTCATCCTCAAGGAGAGCCACAGGGTGGACATGTTGAACGTCCAAGGAAGTTACCAGATATGCTCACTAGGCCCATAAAGGGTTAAATAAAAACAACTACACCATTTATCGGAGCCACAGGAAGTAAAAACAGAGCGAATCAATACATTTTAAACTTTGTTCCTTTAACTACACATCTGTGACACGTGATTCCGTCCAAAAACGAAATCAGGATGCTTCAATCAATTCACTTTATTCTACATGTAAAAAATTAACCAAAAATAAAGGGTTTGCTCTGAACACATGCTGTAAAAAGCAAAAAAACTTCTGCACTTCTCAGTGAAACTAAAAGATCTTCACTGACCGACAGCAATGTGACAAAAGTTTTATTCTGAGCTGCAGGCTGTTTGCACAGAGCAGAGAGGAGACAAGTCTGGAAACTAATAAAAATATAAGAAGTTAAATCTTTGTCATGTGTAGAATTACTTTTTTCCTTTCTTTTGCCAGTATGGTTCACTCTTTGGAAAAGTCGGACATGTTGATGTTTTGTTTTTGTAATTTTTGTAAAACCAATAATCAAGGAAATTCAACACTCTTTTTTATGCTTATGTCCCTATAAACATGTTGTATTGCACATAAGACGTTTCTGTGTTCTCTGTCCTTCTAGTCATGGTTGTTCTGTTTCCATTGAGGTGCAGGAATTCATATTATAGTGAAAAATGAGCCCACAGTGAGGAAAAATGAGACAGAAACAAAAAACAACCCACCAGAAACAGTTAATGGTCTGTAAGAAGAGTCAGCTTTCATTTCAAAACCTGAGACTCAACATGTGCAGCAATAAACACAGATATAATTAAACTTCTCTAAATGACACTAAACACCTCATTATTCCAGAACTGCTGCAGAAGAATCGACCTCTTTGTCCTCACAAGCAAATCTATCATTTGTTCTCAAACACAGAAGCACCTGAAGCCTTCAAACTGTCTAAACAACATGAACGCAGCCATGAAGCTGAGTTGAAGTTTCCACTTGCTGTAAGCAGCCATGAGCCCTGACAGGTTGACTTGTTCCTCTGAGCTCGTGGCTCCACCTGGTGGCCTCCTGCAGCCTCTTTAACCCCATCAGCCGGAGCTACAGGCCGCTAATTGAATGCAGGATGTCAGAGATCATCCATTCATATCTATCTCTGGTGGCGGAGGCCCGGTCGTCCCTCGGGAGCGTTTACCGCTAATCCACTCAAAATTAGGTCAGTGGGTTAAGAAAATAAACTGCAGCTCGACTTCCACTTACAGCCGAGACGCTGCGGAGCAAAGTGCAGACCAGAACAGGGACGATAAACGAGGATTTACAGAGCTGTGGGGGACAGGAAGTCAGAACAACTGCTGCTGTGTTGGGTTTAAACGCTCAAACACAAACTGGATCCACTTCTGCTCCAACGTGGGCGTAAAACGTTTGGTAAATCCTGATTTAAATCACAATCAGGCCAATTATCACCAGCAGACTGGTGGCGTCCACATCAGGCTTCACAGAACAACACTTCAGAGAAATTAAACAAATAGCATTATAGTACATGAGCAAACTTAAAGCTGTTCAGTTTTTTCAGACATTTTAACATGTGACTTATGCAGTTTTTCACTTGAGTAAAAGAAGCCACGTCACACTGTTTTATAAAAGCTGCTGGACTATAAAGGTTACTGAAGTAAAAGTGAGCTGAAATGCCAAAAAATCTGTCAGTTCAATTCAAATTTGAATGTTTTTCTTTGGTTTTTTGCACCATATGAAGCAGATTATGTATGAAATGCTGCCCAGCATCAGTGTTATCAAGCATCAGTGGATGAAAAAGCATCCGTCAGTGGTCTGCTAGCTTACATTTCATTATGAAAGTCTAACTATTGATGCCATCAGCAGGACTTCACAGTTGTAGCTGCTTAAATTTAACACATTCTAAGTCTTTTGCATATTATTTTTAAAGGTCCAACATGTTTTTTTTTTAATGTGGAATTTCAATTTTAAAGCAACTTCTAAGTACTCGTGTAGTGGAGCAGCAGCAAAACAGGAAAGTAAAAGTACCTACCATTGATAGTCGAGTCCTTGAGAGTAAATTCTTGATTTTGTTTGATCTATTTTGGAAGGTTTCATGTTAATTCCTGGTTATAATCTCCTTCCCAGTGGAAACACTGGACTCAACAGAATTAAAACCCACCGCATCGTTTCACTGCAGACGACTTAACTCAGTTCTTACATAAAGTATTGCTGCGTGCTGAGGTTTGTACATCAGTCATGAGCCTGTAAACCAGGAGTGTCCAATCCTGGTCCTGGAGGGCCACAATCCTGCATGTTTTAGATGTTTCCCTTCTTCCAACACACCTGATTCAAATGATCAGGATCGTCATCAGGCTTCTGCAGAGCTTGATGATGAGCTGATCATGCAGGACTGTGGCCCTCCAGGACCAGGATTGAAGACCCCTGCTGTAAACGCAGCCGGTGAACGAAAAAAAAAAAAAAACAGGAAAATGAAAAATGTACAAATCTCAGCACGTAGGGAAAAGAAGAAGACGACAAAGAAGGACAGACAAGCTGAAGAAGACGAGTGTGGATGCAAGCATTTATTTGCAAACTAGTCCAAGAGAACAGGAAATATCTGAGTTACTACACACGGGAGCAGAGCGGCCGTTTCCTCACGGCGAATCTTCGTGCTTGTCGGTGTGACATGGCGGCGGCGTGTATTTTCCCTCCTTGATCAACTTGTCGCGCTGCTGACGGATTTGGTAAAGCCGCTCGTGCTGCAGGAAGGAGGAGAGATGAAGTTTAAGGCACAACAAAGCAGAGAAGGAGAACATTCTGCAGCCCTCCACCATCACAGCGACTTGATCTTTTACTTCTTGCACCTTGTGTTCATGTGAAAAACAGGCCTGTCGTCTCTACCAGAACATCTCCCTGCAGACCTGCTTCTGAGCTGGAAAGTCGGACGCTTGAAAAATCCAGCAGAGACGCAGAGGGTCTTCACAGATATCATGTGCCTTGGCAGTGACTTCAGCAGCATTTCCATTTAATCGATTTCAAATCAAGATTGTAGTTTAAAATAATGATGCAAATCCCAACGGCTGTATATAGAGGAGACAAATGCTCTGTCTTGTTTTCATTTCTTTAAACTAATCGCAGTTGTATTGGGGTCAAAAGGAAGATGCAGCTTTGGTTTTCTGTGTTTGGAAGAAATATTTGTGTGAAAGGAGACAAGAACTGGGATTAAAACTGAATGTACAGAACAAGCATCACACAACACGAGGTGTGTCAGAGAAGTTCCAGGACTGGCGTCACAAAAGATAGACTTCAAAGCCAAACTTCAAACTAGGAGTTTTACCTTCAGACGATCTACAAAGAAATCCTGAGGCAAGAGCTGTGGCAGGACAACTAATGGCTGCTTCACCATGACAACCTGCTCACTGAGCATCCCACAGCTCCTGGCTGAGAAGAACATCTCCGTGCTGGAGCAACCTCCCTACTCACCCCACCTGGCTCCGTGGGATTTGTTCCTCTTCCCCAAGCTCAAGGGGGTCATCAAGGGGACCCGTTTAGAAGACGTGGACGACATCAAGATGGCTGCGACGACAGAGCTGCAGAAGATCCTGGAAGAATCCTTCCAGGAGTGCATGGAGAAGGCTGAAGACGTGTGTTAGACTCCAGGAGGATTATTTTGAAGGGGAAGACTTGTAGTTTGGATTTGAAACATGTGTTTAGTGACACCAGTCCTGGAACTTTTCGGACACACCTCCAACAAATCCTCGACAAAACCTGAAGTTTTCAGTGTTTTAGGTTGTTGCTCAGAAGTTGTTTGTAAAAGTGAAGAAGACGGTAACACACAGATGGCGAGGAGTTATGTTATGCAGCACATCTGACTGAGAGTTCAACCCTCTGAACCCCAAAAACCTGCCAGTGGGTTTGAATGGCATGTTGTTTTTGAAAAATCACCATTTATCAGAGGTAGAGAATGTAAAAAAAATAGAAGAAAAAAGAAGAGTTGTCAGACTCGTCAATATTTACGACAGTCTTTGAACTAATCATCATCTTCAGCCAGAAAATTGACTGAATCTCAACTTAAACTTGTAATATTTCATCAAAATCACTTCATTCTACATGTTAAACTTAAAAATTTGCACCAGATTGTATGTAAAACAACAATAACTCTGCACTCCAACAACATTGACTCAGCAGCACATGACCAGAGCTCCTGGACTTTTCAGGCTGCAGTCAGAAAACAAACACAAAATGCAAGAAGCAACATCTACGTAGAGTTCCTATTGGTCAGTGTTGAACACCAGCGGGAACTTGGAAAAAATGTTACACATGTTGATTGAAGGTTTTTTTAAAGTTTTGTGAAATATATAATGAAAGAAATTTAATGCTTGTTCTTCTTTTTTTTTATAATTTCTGGGATTTGTTATTTAGCACCAAAGACGTGAGTTCTCTCTCCTTCTTCTTGGTTGTTGTGTTTGTATCGAGGTTCAGGACTTTGTGTTGCAAAGAAAAAGGAGCCACAGAGAGTAAAAATGTGAGAGGAGCAAAGAAAACCCCTCAGAGAGTTAAACTGTCATCTCAGTGTTTCCATAAATTCCTGCCATCCTTGCTGTGTGACGGTCACACTTGTGATGCTATCTGATGTGGTTCTGCTCCATCACATGTTTAAATCTGTTCCTCAGTGAACGCTGACCTGAAACTACACTTAAAACATCACAAATCAAATCACAGCATCTGACAGAAAGATCAGAATTAGTTCTTTTACCCAAATCAGTCGTCCTGCTCTCAAACCGGCTGCTGTGATGCAACTCTGATGCTAAAGTTCCTCACACCGCTGTTACACAAGCAACCATCAGACCTAATCAGTGCATAGAAACTGAATGTCAGACCTCGAGCCTGAAGCCGACATTAAATCAGCACTCCTTCCTGCTGTGTTTGGTTTGAAGGAACGAGACGTGACTAACAAGCGAAACGAGGCGTCTGAACCGAGGCTGAAACTTTCTGCTGCTGCAGCACTTTGAAGAGCAGCGAGTTGCTCATCTGTCAGTCTGCCCTCTGCTGACACCTGAACTCTGTCATGGAGGTCCGACTCTGCTCCGCTGTGCTGACGTTTAGTCAACCACTTCTAGTTTAAACACACCGTCCTTTTTCTTCTCCAGAGTTGGGTTGTAGCAGCAGCAAGCTAAAGAAGACATTTCAGACATGTAGGAAACATTTTCTAGTTCCCTCCCTGAGGCGTTCCCAGGCCACAGGAGATATACGACCCCTCCAGAGCTTTACCTCACTGTTTCCTCCCAGTTGGATGAACCTGAAAAACCTCCAAAGTAAGACGTCTGGGTGCTTTTTAAAGATGCTGTAAGCTGATTTTTTAACTGCTCGACATATTTTCTTCCTCCCTAACATAAAACACACCAAACTCTGTGCAAAAATCAGCCAGTTTAATGCAGCACATGTCAACAGAAATGCATGTTTAATACTAAAGCCGCTGAGGCCAAACTTCTGAATGAGCCAACTTAGACATCAGGGAGTCTACAAGCAACTGAAGCATGGTGTGTTTGTTTATGGATGTGCTGAAGGCGGAAAACTTCAGAGCTGAAGGAATAAGAGGCAAAGCCCGAAAAAGAAGAAGCTCAGATTATGTTCAAATAGGCAGCTGCAGTGTTTTATCTTAAGACACAAGTGATGCAGAAAAGCTTTTAAAAGCGTCCTAACAAGGTCATGTTTGACTCTTTTACAACATTAAAGCACTAAAGGCGTTTGTTTTAAAACTACCACCAATACACAGTGTCCACAAAATGACATTCCAGCTGCATTCACCGCACTTGTGTTGTTTGGAAGTTCGAGGAGGACGAATGTGTGGTTTAGCCGTAAGTAAGGCAACGCTACAGAACCAGACTTCACCCAGAGAGGATCTCATAGACACGAACATGGCGACAGGGCAGCATGTGGCGCTCAGGAATCAGAAATAATTCTGGCTTTTGCTCTAACACAGTGGATTCATGTTAGCATTCCAATAAGAGGCAGCCACATGTTTTTAAAAAGAGGTCAGATCATTGAAAAGCAGGTGCTGCTGGTGAAAATCAAACCCACAAGTCGAAACGGGTCACTTCACAGCATGAACCGTCACTGCCTGATACATGGACATTGATTTCTGTTTTCCACTGTACTGGTAAATTCTACTAGATGAGCTCAGTAATAAAATAAAACCAGAATGTATACGGATGACCTTCAGTGCAACATCTGGTTACTCAAACTACAGCTCAGCAGTCCTACATGTAACCACAGGCCGGTTTAGAGTTCTAACAATGAGTCTTAGATTTGTATAACACACTGACAACAGGTCTGTGCTCCTATTTAAAGGCTAGAAGAGCTCAAACCAGAAGCAGTGCAGTCTGAGTGGACTCACAAGCTTCCGCCTATTCAGGCACTCGAAGAAATCATCATACTCCAGCCGACACTCCTTCATGGCGCGGGTCAAACCGATGCCATGAGCACATTTGACGAACTCCTTCTCGAAGACCTGGCAGCGCGCCACTTGCTTGTTGGGCTGCTCTCCGCTCTGCAGCAGCAGCCAGCGGTCCAGGTCGATCCCCAACCGAGATTGCAGGTCCACGAACGGCATGATGCTGCTGGAGGAGGAGCGGGGAGGAGAAATAATAAGAACAGAGATTTAGTGGGTGAGATGAGGGAAGGCAGAGAAGAGGACAGCTGATATAGAAATTCTTTACAACACAATATTAGAGCAGACAAAGCAGCAGGAGTATCAACCATGGAGATCACAGAGCGCTGTATTGAGAGAAACTGCACTGTTAGGATTCAATCTAGAGCGTCATCAGTAGGGAATAAGACTCACGATTATTTTCATTGTCACTTAATCTGCTGATTATATTCTCAAATTAACAATTCATTGTTGAGTCTACAAAATGGTAGAAAATAATGAAAAATGTCAATCAGAGTTTCCTAAAGCCCAAAACGACATCCTCAGACGTGTGTTTTTCTCCACAACACAAAGAGATCCAGTTTACTGACACAGAGGAGGAAAGAAACCAGAAAACAGCCACATTTAAAAGGCTGGACTTAAACAATTCAGACCTTTTTGTTAAAAAATGAGTCCAACCGATTAACAAAAAGGTTGCCGATAAATTTAATAGCTAAAAAATATCTATTAATTGGGTATTTTCCTCTGGTTGAAATAAAAGGTGCCTGTTACAGTAAAAACCAAGACTTTGTTTTCCTGCTGCATCGTTCAAAGATGACTTTGAGCAGAAACAAAGTTTTGGTTTACAAAATGAAACAGATTCGGTCGATAATTAGGTTTTTGTTTAATGTGAAATTGAAATTACTGTCATTTGAACGCTGGTCTTAGAATTGTTGTTGACGTCAGCGCAGACATATTCTTTGCTTTGTGCACACTGATAAGTGGAATAATGCTGATCTCCTGGGGATTACATCTAATTACAGTTTGCAGTTTCTTCTGACCCACATTGTGATTTGATTTTAGAGACATATTTTAAGTCAAGCTTCAGGGAGGACAGCATGAATATGTAAAAACACTGACAAGACAGTTTAAACTCTGGGTCAGAGACACCACATAACATCTGTCCTAAATAAACACGCTTTGTGATTTTCTAACTGCAGAGTTTGAAATAACAAGTTCAATTTGAAATTGTTGAATTTTTCAGCTTTGTCCTTGCCATCATAATTCAAAGAGGTCTCAGTGTTTAAAAAAGAGAGACTAAAACACAAAATGAGTGAAATGGTACGCTTAAACTGAGCTGAACAATTCATTGAAATAACATCGAAATCACAACGTGGACAAGTGCAACACTCAAAGTGCAGAAGCTGAACTAAAGTCATTAAACGCGTCAACATAAATGAAGCGCTGCTGTAAACTGCTAACGACATGTTGTGGCCGACAAATCAGATTGTTTAAACTTAAAGAATCAGGCAACAAAAATCAAATGAATCACTTGCAGATATTTTTTCCACAATGGAAAGAAATGAACAAACAAACATTTCTACAGAAGTTCTCATGAAAACCACGATTGCAGCATCTGTTTAAAGTGATTGTTTTTACATGTCATTCAGCTCTACTAATAAAGTAATAGTACTAATAAACTAATAAAGCAAAACACAACAAAGTTCAAATGAAACTTGAAGCAGACAGAAACACAAACATAAAGGTTTTACTAACATGAACTGTTATTAGTGGTGATCTGGTCACTGTAAGTTATGACAATAAGTCATGCTGTCTGTATCGACTTCATTATTAAATATAATACAGATATCAGGAATCCTTATGTACTAAATAAGCTTAAACTTTTATATTTCACCAGTAACATCATGCTTCACCTGTGAGATGTTTTGTATTTTTAGCAGGCACAGGACGCACATTTAAACGTAACCTGTTGTCAGCTGTTGAAAATAGCGCCTCAGTTTGCAAAATTATACGTTTCTAAAGACATGTATATTTTAAATATCTGGTAAAAAGACGACAATAATTATTGTTTTCCATTTTCTTCTTTATGACTTGTCTATCAGCCAGCTAGCGTTAGCTTAGCAGCCCGCTAGCTAGCGGATAACTCTGGAAACGATCATTTACTAAACAAACAGCCAAACATGATGCTTCGTTTCTCTCATGTCAGTTCGCAAATGTACAAATTAGTCCTGACTGCTGGCTGAGTGTGTCAGCAGGTTGTATTTCTGTGTTGTTTTTATTCTGCTGTTTGTGCTCCTCACATCCTCCTTCAATGACACTCATCATGCTAACGACAGGCCGCTCTCACTTTACGACATTTACACTCTGACGATGTTTAAAAACGACAAATAAACTCGAAGATGTGGCACATCTGTTCACATGCACTCAAAATGTCGACGATAATCGTGAAGTATGTGTACTTACCGTGCCTGTCAAAAAAGTCACTTTAACCTTCCTCCGTTTCCACGCGTTTCGCTTTGCGACAGATCCAAACAGCCGTAAATCGACGTGTTCTGCTGTGAATAGACGCTGCTGTGCTGTAAAGCGCTTGTGCTTCTTACCGCCTCCTGCTGGAGCCGCAACACACTACAGAATATAAAGTTATCTGGTACATTTTTATTTGAGCAGCAGGTTTCTTCTGGCTGGAAATGACTAACAAGAACAGGCTCAGTGCTGTAACTGTAGCCAAAGATGCCTCGACTGAATAATGACTTGAAGAAGGTGAACACTTATGAATACTGCAGACCTTTAAACACCTGTTTTAGTTTTATATTCTTTACCTTACTTTGACGAAATCTGTCTTAACTTTGGGGCTGCAAGGTGACTCAGTGGTCCTCGGTTGGCATCCCGGTGAGGACACTCAGGATCTTTCTGCGTGGAGTCTCCATGTTCTCCCCGTGCAGCGTGGGTTCTCTCCTGGTTCTCCGGCTTCCTCCCACACAGTCCAGAAACATGTTGAGGTTAATTGGTGATTCTAAATAGTCTGTAGGTGTGAATGTGAGTGTGCTTGGTTGTCTGTCTCTAAGTGTAGCCCTGTGATAGACTGGTTACCTGTCCAGGTGAACCTGCCTTCACCCTGAGTCAGGTGGGATAGACTCCAGCCCCCCATGACCCTAGTGAGGACTAAGCGGTGTATAGAAAATGGATGGATGGATTACTTTTGTCAATTTCAACGTATTTCAGTGACAGATGTTTTTTTTCCTTCTTTCATGGGAGGAATACATTTGAGGACGACTGTACAGTGGATTGGAAGAGCTTCACTCTTTTGCTCATCAGTGATTCCAGGTGTGACACAGTCATTAAAAGACATTTCCTCGTTCAGTAAAACTCACAACGAATCCTTGTTTTGGTGCAACATCAGATTGTGTTTATTTATTTTTCCCCAAAAGGTCCACAAGTTGTCTTTCACAGTCCTGCATGTACAACCCCACATAAGATCAGGGGCTTCAACAGTGACAGGAGATACACAAACAGTATAATAACACTTAAATATTGCTATCTATATACTCTAAACCTTTTTCAAATAAAGACAGGACCACCTGTGTTCCTAAAAGGACATTTTCCATCCGTCATTCGCACTCTTTCAGGAAGTTTCGGGTTTCCGTCTGTGGTACATTCGTGTGTTTCCTCACAGGCAGGCAGGCAGAAACTAGTGATAAGTGTAGACCAAACAAAGCACTGCCAAGTCACATAAGCAGCTAAATCCATAAAGCTACTCTGAGATGAAAAAGGTTCCCAAAGTAATTTCCTCGCAGGTTAAAAGGAAAAACCTGGTGGGAAACCTTTTCAAACAGAAGCACGGAGGTGATACAAAGCTAAGAAACAAGTCAGGCAATGATTAAGAAGAGCTTATCGGCATCAGAATTCAAAGTGTTTGGCTCCAAAATGACACGTCCAAACTTGTAGAAATGATTAGTAGAACATAAATTAAAAGGAGAAAATATAAAATAATTACAGTCCTTGCATCACAGAATTGATAAAAACACCTTTAAGTTAAAAATACTGAGTGATGAACGAGACAAAGCGGAGAAGTTTTGGAGCCAAACTCTTGTTTAGTTACATCCAACATAAAAGGCCCTCTGGTAGGTGATTTATTTTGGTTGTACCACAGACTTTTGTAAGCAACTGAAATAAAAACTCAGCAACAGATGAGGAATAGCAAAAAAAAAAAAAAGATAAATAAGATAAATTTAGATAAAGTGCACAAGTGCTCATTCAACAAACAAAGTGGGACACAGAAATACATTCATCAGGAGTCCAGTCGTTCACACAAACACGACGTTCAAGTGGGTCGGACAGAAACCGAAACCAGCGGAGACCAGCCGGCAGCAGCGTCGTCGTCGCGTTGGTCAGCGAGAGTCGATAAGGCAGCCGACCGCCAAACACCAACCGGGTCACACGACGCAGAAACAAACAGGAAGTTCTGACGGCGACACATCAGGTGCAGTTGGCCGCAAGAAAACACTCACTCAGAGGTGAAAGAGGCAGAAAACTGGGAGGATTTCATGCAAAATACTCAAAATCAATGTTAATTCCAATGTGAGGATTCTGTCATATATGTGTTTATTTATGCTTCTACCAGTTTATTTACTCCATGTGAGTTATTGGATCTATTTATCTTTTAATGCTGCACTTTTATTCTCTGAAATGTAACTACTCAGATGTACAGTGGCAATAAAGACATTTTATACAACAGTAAACTGATTTTCTTTCAGTTTTTGGACTCTTAAACAACTAGAATAAGTCCACTTTACTCATCTGGATAATTAAGTTTATTATTATTTCCTGACATTTTTTTTTTTTGTAAAAACAATGAATCATCAATAATCTGCAAATTAATCCAGAAAGAAAATGATGATTCATTGCAGCCCTGTTTCTCTACCAGGTATAAAATATATTACTGACGGCAGTAATTAACAATTTAGAACTCCTTCAGTTAGAAAATCAGCAAAAAAATGAAACGAAGTCCTATAACTAGCTTTTTTTCCAGAGCCTTCCTCCACATCCACAGCTGCCATAATGAGAATTCTCATTCCCTCAATGCACTGATGAAGGCTGCAGAATGTAGCTGAGAGCTCTGGGAAAAAGTTAAATATTATGTTACTGTAAAACTGGAAACTGTGACGAAAATAAGCTTTTTAAAGAGATGTTTTATGTCATTGTAAAACTGGAAACTGTAAATACAGAAGTTTAAAAAAAGTCTGTAATTACAGTTAAAGTCAGAAAAAAATGGATTAAAGTGAATGTTCAAGTCTTTATTAACTCCAACATTTAAATGGAAGTTTTGTTTGGTTTGATTTAAAACTTTGCTTGTAATTTAATCTAAAATGAAAATCGAAGTTAAACAGCTAAAACTCTTTTAAATGTAAGTATGTCAAGAAAAAGAGTTTATTATTTTGTTTAAAGCCAGATTTTGGTTTCTGCATTTCTGAGAATAAAGTCAAACTTTAATAAATTTATACTCGCAAAGGTAGTGTAGGTTTAGAAAGTGATTTTTTCTGCATCAATTTACGGCAGAAATGTCTTTATTTATGAATTTGAGTGTGTACATGCGGTAGGGATGAATAACTAAACGGTCAGAGCTAGTGTTGGGTCTGTAAGTGAATGTTATAAAGATTTAAATTAAAAAATTCTTTCTAGTTTTACTCGTGGACGACAGATGTTCTAAATATTAAAGGTATCTTCTGCCTGTGCTTATAAAGGTTTCTCAGAAAGCTGTTTGTGAAACGATAAAGGCTCCTTTGATGCAGATCTGTGCAGAGCAGCGCCACAAACCTCCTCTTCTCTCTGAGTCAATACAATAAAATGGCTTCTTTTTTTTCACCACAGCTACGTCAGGCTTTTCCGTGTCGCTGTCAGAACGCCGTCATTCGTTTCTGTCACACTTTTTTCTGTCTCTGTGTCCGTCCTCCTCCAACTCTGTGCAGGAAAAGTGAGATTCAAGTGCAGCTTCGTCCTCTAAAGTAAACTTTAACTTTCACCAGTGTAACAGAAACTCGCTGCCTTTCAAACCTTCCACGCCGGGAGCGGCTCATGCAGACTCATGCACACGGCAAATAATACAATTTCAAGGTCGTCTGAATATAAATAGAGGAGAAAAGGAAAATAAAGCCACAATAGTCGAGTACAAAGTCCACATTCACTCACACACTGTTAAAAACATCCTCTTCGTCCTCAGCAAACATCTGTTCTCCCAACAATCCTCTTCTCTCTGCTGTGCTTGGTGACGTTTCACCTTGTTTCAGAATTTTGCAAATTTTCAGTTTTTGTGGAAAATTTGTACCTCTTGTATTTTTTTTGTTGTTTTTTTTTTTTCTCTTTTTTTTTGCTTAGGTAGCCAAGGCATTTTGCACCGAGGAGTAAACATAAATCATCATCTTATAAATCTCAGAGGTAGAGCCCTGACAATTTGCTCAGAGAGGAGATTGGCAGGTAGATAGATAAGACAGACAGACAGACAGACAGACAGACAGAGTAAACCCACGCTGTCTGTGTTTAAGACGAAAAAAGTCTGTGAGTCGCAGAAGCAGCAAACGAGAGAAAAGAAAAGCTGTGAAGTTTCAACGTAAATGTTCGGGGGGTTTGTGCAATCCTGAGAGCTGCTGTTCTCTCAGACGTAGAGGATGACGTTGCTGTCTGCGGGACAGTGAAGGCCTTCGGTGGACGGGTTCAGGGCTCGGCAGGACGGCGGCTGAGGCTGCTGGCCGGCCGCCGGGTGGCAGCTCTTCGGGTGAGGCGAGTCGCAGTCGTCCGACGTGAGCTCGGCGATGTCGTCCGACTGAGTGTCCGACATCTCCAGGTCGCTCCTGATGCTTTCCGGCTGGGCCAGCGTCACGTCTCGGAGCCCCTCCCTGATCGACGCCCCCGGCGACAGGCCCAGCGCCGAGCCCGACAAGGCCCCGCCCCTTCTGGAGCTGCAGTCCTGAGGCTCCTCCCCTCCGGAGGCGGTCGCCATGGCAGCGGAGCCCGGATGCGGGGTTAGGTCCTCTTCGCTGGTCAGGCAGAGATGGCTGGGTTTGGTCTCGATGTCCACCTGGATCTCCAGGTTGGTGCACTCCCTGCAGAGAAGGACAACAGGTCAGCCGCGGGAAGTTTTAGTCACAATGACGGGAAAAACGGACAGTGTGAGATTTAGTGTTTCTGTAAAATAGTTCATAATATGGAAAAATACACCAATTTTCAGCAGATGACTTGAATTTGGAAAAAACTGTTGTTTCTATCACGATGGGGTGATTTTGTAGGCAAGAGAAACTGAACAGAAAATTAAAAAATCTTTTGAAAAACCTGTGTAAAGTGTAAAGCTGGTAAAGGCGTTCAGAATAGTTTCTTTGCTTTAGATGAAGGTTGAATCTGGCTGTGCTCTCATCACACAGAGCTGCTCATTTAAATGTTCACACAAATGAGTCGAGTAGATGCAGCAATTTTATCAACTTATTATTCACTTCCTAAAATAATCGAACCAGAGTTAGCCAGCAGCTACTTTGCATCTGAACAATAAACACATGACTCAAAACAATATGAAACTTCCATCAGTGTGCGATAATAAATAAAATCAGTGAATGCAGTAAAAGGTCATCGTTGGTGGTGATGATTCTGTGCTGAGCTTGTCCTGAGTCTGTGGAGATAACGAGACGCTTCTCTCATTCTGTAATATTTCCATTTTGCAACCAAGTCTTCCTTTTCAGTGTTTCTCTCCGGTTCCTCACTCATTTAGTTGTGCACGTGTGGAGCCAGCACAGACAGTCTTTACAAAAAACACTCAATATATCTAAAAACTCTTCAATTGGAATAAACGATGTTCCGTCAGACAGACTTCTTTTATAGATTATTGATGGAAAATGGGAACTTTCTTGTGTGTGAATGCAGCAAAAAAGTTGTAGCACCACAAACATTTCTGATGCTCCAAACTTTACATCATAAACATGCACCAACAATGTTTGTGTAATTACTCTCAGTACCAGAAGGGGGAGACAAACGCTGTGCACTGCACGCTTAAAATAAACTTTTTACTCCTTAACGGTTGAAGAGGCATATTTTGAAAAACTGCCTCGTACACTGCAAGTTTTACATTTACAATCATACAACTTGTAAGTTCTAGTAAACATTATACAATAATTCTGGTTACGCTCAGCAGCGGTGACAATCACATGACAGAGGAAAAGAAAATTTAGTAGACAACTGCCTCAGATACCCTCAGATAGCCAAAAAGACTTAAAGAACACATCGCTGGTTAACAGACACGTGCATCCTGCTTTAATTTTGACAACGTTATATTAGAATCTGCTCAAATTCACAGAAAAACATCCGTATTTCTAACCAAACAAGCCAACGTTACCATTTTAAGACAGATCACAGCACAGGGAACAGTATTTCCTGTACACAAGCACAGCTCGCTACGATGTGATGTTGTGATATAGCGTGTTTGCTGCTGAGTCTCAGTAAAGCTGCTCGTAATGTCGAGGAGAATCTGTGCAGCTTTAGGAGACAACAGCATGTGATCGTGGCGCCAACATGCCAAGTCATCGGATTAGTTCTGATTGTGTTATCTCAATCGCGTTAAATCCAGGACAAATGTGACGCAGCAGCAGATGGAACTGAAGCCGAACCACTCTCTGAAGAAGCAGAAGCAGAAGAAGAAGAAGCGCAGTCCTGGCTCACCTGTCAGGTAGAGTGTAGGAGGAGATGATGGATCCGGCCATTCCTCGGGTGCTGGCGCAGTCGCTTCCTGCTCCCAGGCTTCCTGTCTCTCTCTGGGCCGACTCTTTAGCGAGTTCCCCTGCTTGGACCTCCAGCCTGGAACAACACAAACACTCTGATTAACCACCTTCACTGCTGTAAGAACACTGAGCATCAAGAAGACAAGAAAAACATGAAGCAAAAGTTGCCCACAGACCACGAAACAGGATCTTTTATACAACGGCTTCTGCTAGTTAGCTAGCTCGTAGCTAAGTACCAACAAATTCATTTTTAGATTCACTGGTTTACTGTCTTTTTGACTGAAACTAATCTTAGAAACATTTAACAACAATTATGGGAGATGCATGCTTTATTTTTGTGTTTAAAAGTAAAGTTTTTTGTGTTTTTTGCGAGCAGTAATTGCTGAGAGTCGGGATGCCACGTAATAATGCAGCATCTATATCTGGACCTTTGTTAAACATGTTTTTGTGACCACTGGTGCACATTTGTAACTTCTTCATGGAGTTTAAACCAGAGCAAACAGCTGGATGATCCAACATTCAGGCGGTTGTGCACCAGGAAGAGTTGAAAGCCAAGTTCTACTGTAACGTTCTGAGGTGTCTGAGGTACAACTCTTAATTCCAACAACCTGAACTGTGGCGTGACGGTGTAGAGATGCTTCAATGCACATATGTGATTGCACACATTTTTTTTTTTGGGCCACAACAACACAATCGTCGCTTCCCCTGCTCGCTACATTTGTCTTCCTTCCTTTCCTCATCTTCCCCAAAATGAAATTTAAGTTAAAGATTTGGCATTTTGGCACAGTGGAGAAGATCCAGTGTGTGTCGTCGATGGTGTTTGATAACTGCTAACATAACATAACTGCTAACATATTTAGATAAGTGGACCTCCGGTGTTGCTGTCTGGGAGCAGAGTGTCGCTGCAACAGGAGACGACCTCTATGAATTCAAGGAAGACATGGTTTTTGATTTTTATAGGTGCAAACTTGGAACTCTGACTTATGACATCATGTTTAGTCTACCAACTCACCTGACGTAGACTGCAGGTATAAGGCTGCATATCTCAGGTGGTTTTGTTCTCCAGTTTTTACAATCTACATGACATTGTTTTCAAAATCTACTTCGCTGTGGGACACAACAGCAACACCCTCCGAGCAGCACTGAAACTTTTAAGTTCTGCCGAGGATTTGGATGGTGCAAGACGGCTACAATGCTAATTTTTTTTTCAGTGGGTTATCCATTTTGATGGCAGTGCTCGTGTCCCTGCATGCAGTGTTCCACCAAGACTATTTTGAAGAAACACCAAAGAGCTAAAGAAATACTAACAAGTGTTTTCCCCTTACAGCAGGATGATATTAAAGTGCAGACACGCCACTACGTTTGCTGAAAGAGCTGGCATAAACCACCTCCTGAACTTAACCTCACCTGCTGTACTTGCTGGTTCTAGTCCCCAGAGCTCCACCAGCCAGGGTGTTGAAGTGGGGGGTGTCGCCCAGAGTCCCGGGGGCCACGGAGAGCCCCTCGCTGGGGGAGGTGGTGCTCAGGCCGCTGACCGCCCCGTCCAGGCTGCTCTCACCGAGGCTCGGAGACTTGAGGGCTCGCCAGGCATCGGCCACTGCAGAACCAGACGGAGAACGGTCCTCTGAGTACGTTTGGTCTTTCAGGATTCTATAAGTTATCATAACCTGTGCAGCGCGCTCACCTGTGATTGGTCCGTCGTCCTCATCGAAGTCGATCCGGACGCCGCGTCCCTTCCCTCTGCTCACGCCACAGCCGCCTCCTCGGCACAGAGAGATGGGCACGACGCCGTAGACGTAGGCCAGCATGATGGGAACTCCGATACCTGGAGACAAGCACAGACTTGGTGATTGAACAGTTTATATATGACCTGATTTACTGTATTTCATAGAAGTCACTCAAAGAAAAAACTGTGGATAATCAGTGTAAAAATTGAGATTCATTTTGTCCTAGGTTTAGTTTGTGATAGAATTTCTGCTCTGACCTGGAAGTACGCCGTATGATTCCCAATAAAGGATGTTCAAAACAGCAAGAGAGAGTTTATGGTTGACGCTACATTTTCACAATCTGCAGATCTGAGTCTGCCTCATAAAAAGTGCCATCGTTTGTTATTTTTTAATGTTATGTTCTCTGTATAAAAGCCGAAACCACGATGCAGTCTCAGTTTTCAGCTTCACTCTGCTCCAGGTGATGAGCATCAGAGCGTCCAGGTTCTGAGGAAACAAACTCACAGCTGTGCCGTTTCTTACCGACGCTGACGGCGGCGATGACGGGCGCCGTGATGATGGACAGAGCCACGCCGCCGGTGATGGCCAAGTTCCTTCTGTGACGAGACGTCTTCTTCAGCTCGTAGTGGGCGTGGATCTGCAGCGGAGGGCGACACGAGCATGAAACACTTGACGACAACATGAGAGGAGAACGTTAGAGGAGGTCTGAAGTGTTCTGAGGCGAGCACGTGGTGATTCTGTGCCACATAAATGAAATTCACTTAAAACGTAAAAGCAGAAATCATCCTCGTGCCAGTTTTAAGGATAAATGCCAAAGTTTCCTCAGTTCCAGCTTCTCAAATGTGAATAATTGCAGATTCCTCGGTGCTCTATAAAAGGGTTTTTGTGGACCTAACGTTTCATCAAAAGTAACCATTAGCTGAAGACGAGAAGAAGAAGATCAATCTAAATATTTAGCAATAAGACCTCTATCTACTGAAAAAAACATAAAAACAACCTTATAACTAACCACAAAAACAAAAACAACATTTATATTTTCTTATTTGTAACATATTAAATTAATACTACAGTTGAATCTCTATCCATTAATGTTACTTACAGTGCGTCACCTCTGCATATATTATATTTAAATTGACTGTTTGATTAAACAATATCCTCAGTTTTTGTTTTAATATTTCCATTTTCTGTGTGACAAGAGGAGCAGCAGTCCTAATTTTGCTGTATGCAGAGTTTACACTGACAATAAAAGCTTCCTGATCCTAAAAATGGAATATTTCAAAATAAAGTCATAATATTTAAAGGACAAAAAGCCTAAATTTTGTAATTCCAGCTTTTTAAATGTGAATATTTTCTTTTCTTTTCTTTTCTTTGCTATGACCGTAAACTGAACATCTTTGGGTTGTGGCTAAAACAAGATATTTGAAACCACTGATCAACATTTTCCTGACATTTTAGAGAACAAACAATTGATCGATCAGTGAAGCTGTTCTCTAAAAACTATGCTGAAATAAACAGAGAAAATCTCTTTGTTCTGCACCTTTCTTTCCTCGTGAGTCCAAATTTCTCAAACTAATTGTAATTTGTCGCACTTCCTTCATTCGTGTGCTGTTTCAGTGCCATGAATGTATCTTAGGAGGAAATAAAATTGTATTTTAGGCAAATTTAACTTATATTAAATATCAGATCCATCCTTGAAGAAGCATTTGTGCGTAATTTTAATGTTTCTGCTGAATGTAAAACTCCACATTTATAGAAAAGATGCAGATTTCTGTCCTGGACAGATTCTCAGTGGAACAAACTTGAATGAACACAAAGAACAAAAACTTATTCAGTTAATGATCTCTGAGTAAAGAATAGTGCGGTTGGGAGTTTTTCCTGCAGGGATTCACCCTGAATCATCGCTGAGCTACACTTTAATTCATTTCTTTTAAGCAGCCTTCAAAGCTTCTTTGTAAAGAACCAGATCTGAGTCATGACTCGTCACAAAGGAGCAACACGACTCCCAGAGATCCACGTCCAGCGAGTCTTTCTGTAAAGGACCGCAGCTGCTCAACACTTCAGTTCACTTCAGTTTCTCAGCTCGTACATCCTCGACTCCTCTGATCGAGCCTCAGTCCCTCCAACCGAGGACAAAAACGAGGAAAGAGAAGCCGAGCAGCTGTTGCAAAGCGTCATCGGTTAAATACGACGCAGCTGCATCATCTGGTTTCTGTTTTCTTGCATCCTGCTGCTGTATTTTCTGATTTTCTGTAAAATCAACCAACGTCATGAGTGCAGGAATACAGCTCCTCTCTCCTCAAATATCCTTCAAGATGCTGCACTAAGATTCATTTCGAGGTGGACATCAGGACAGAGGAGACAAGGAGGCTCAAAACAGCTGCTGAAAAAATGAGAAAATCCAAACGCAGCTTCAGCGATCGCTGTGAGAGAAACGTCCTCAAAACAGAGAAACGAGACGAACAAACTGTCAGAAATATGTAGTTTCCCTTTTATCCACAGGAGAGCGCTGTAGAATGCAACACAAAGCTCCAAACACCAAGCCTCCTTTTCATTTCATATTCACAAACATTTATTGTAGCTTTGATCAAAACACTTGAGATGCTGCTACAGCTGCCAAGTCTTATATTTAGATAATATGAAGAGTTTGCAGCTGTTTTAAGAACCGAAACTGATTTAACTCC